TGAGTTGGTGAACAAATGTTAATTAAATGATCATAATATATTATGTTCTCAAATTAGATTTCGAAATTAAATTCTTATAGAATTACTTATTTCAGAACATGGGTCGAATATATTGTCCACCCACTCTAGCTTAATACACAAGGTTATTAATTTCATTCTAAAGTCATGAGAGAATCAGATCTACATGACCTTATCTTTACACGCGAAAAAATTATTTTCATAACTCAAATTCAATATGCCCAAGTCATAATAAAATAATATCATTGACTATGTCAATACCGCTCAATGGTACAAAACTTGGCATATGACTTCTGTGAATTATCATGGTAATAACATCCATTGACCCAACTAAAAACTTTTCCCTAAGAGAGGGTTGCCTATTTTCATAATTCAAATTCATTATGCTCAAATAATAATAAATAAATATCATGACTACGTACGTCAATATCACTCTATGTTACAATACTTGGCATATGGCTTTAGTGAATTATCATTGGTAATGGCATCCATTGACCCAACTAAAAACTTTTCCCAAATAGAAGTTCACTAGTTTCATAATTCAAATTCATTATCCTCAAGAATAATAAAATAATATCACGACTATGTCAATACTACTCTATGGTTCAAAACTTGGCATGACTTTGCTGAATTATCATTAGTAATGACTTCCATTGACCCAACTAAAACTTTTCCCTAGTAGAGGTTTGTCTTTCAGTCCCATCTAAACAATGCCCATTACCTATCATGATGTGGTGTCCTATTAAGTAACACCCCATACACGGCAAAGCTATTAGTTAACACTATAATTTTGATCCATTTTCAACTTGCCCCCTTAAACAAAATACTCTTTGGTGTTCAAAATTCCGTGTGTTTGATTTAGAACAAGGAATAAAACGGTTCAAACTTTAGACCATGCCCAAGTCAAACTCCAACCAACAAATTTTGGCCAAGTCAAAAAAATCACCCATTACTTCCTGAACAAACAAGTTAAAATCCTCGCGCCTTATTTATTTTATTTTTGTTTAATGATCAGGAGTATTTAGATCAATTTAAGTACATCTCAATTAATCACTTATTCAGTTCGATCAAAAACAGGTTATCCACATCAAAATTAGAATAATCATGAAAAATGAATTATTCATAAATTCAAAGAGTTATCATAATTCGAAGTTAAAACCTCTATTTGTACAACTCTTCCTTGTGACCAACTACTATTGAAGTTGAATCACCATGCCGTATGGCTATATATATTCACATATTCTCTCTCCTTGATTCTCATTCCCATCAACTACTTTTCTCTTCCTCAAACTTTCCTCTTGATTTTCACACAGAAAGGTCCCAAAGTGATAAACAAACATGGTTTCACTTGGGAGACTTTTCCCTTTGCTTTTGGTTTTATGCATTGTGTGCTCTTCAACTACTTTACACACTGCAAAAGCCATTAGGCTTCTTGACATGGAGCAATGGCTGAAGAAACAAGTTCCTCTATTGGAGTCCCACCCACGGGGTCCGGTCCCACCGTCTGGCGGCTCACCCTGCACTTACATTCCCGGCCAGGGTAGTGGCACCTGCACGTTGAACGGAATGAACTTTGCCGGTCACGTCGTCCGTGCACCACCGGCGTTTCCTGGTGCTGGTAGCAACTTTGCAGCAGCTACCATGACAAAAGAAGCTAAAGAGGAAAACCCAAGTTCTTGATCTTGATTGGCACTATAGAAAAGTCAGCTTGAAATGGGAAATGAGATACTGTTCTGTAACATTTGTTTTCTTTTTCTTTTTCTTTTTTGTTGAGGGATTTTCGGAATCTCTTTATTCTTTTTTTTTTTTGAGAATGCTAAGATGTTAAACATTTGGTCTAAGAGAATGCTAAGATTTTTTATTCTCTTTCTTTTGATTTAATTAGGAAAAATTGGGTGTAAGTATATTTTTTAAGACTTGTTTGAGATAAAGTTTATAATTCAAAATTTTACACTATTAAGTCCTCTTAGACATAAATTTCTTGTTATTAAGTACACAATTTAGTTTATTTTTTTCCTGTATTATTTAATTACCATTCCTTAAATAATGTAAAACTGATTGACAGTTTAATTTTTTTCAAATATATAAAAATTTGATTTGATTTAATTTTATTATTTGCTTGAATTTTGAACATTTATTTTTATTCTCTTTCTTTATTTTCTCTCACCTTGCTCGCTTACTTCATTTCCCCCTATTTTCTCTCTAAAACTCTTTTTCTCTCCCCCACGTATTCAAGACACCGTTCCTTCTTTCTCTCCAAAATCGACATTCTTAAATGTCGTTATATTGGTACTCGAAAAAAGATACACCGAAGAGTTATACCGACGAGTCACGCTAAAAAATGATTTTTAGTTCTGTTTGTGTATCTGTATTAATATGTTAGTCATTTTGCACGAAAGACTTTTGCCCAAAATATTTTTGCTTGTACACTTTCACCCAAACAAGTTCCAATATTTGTACCGGCTTCCAGGACTTGAAGCCCAACATATTGTATTTAGAGATAATGGGATATGAGTATTTTTTCGGAACTTATTTTGTTTTAAGTATCACCTCTAAACTTATTCTCCTTTAAGCCATATTTTTTATCAAATAGTTGTCATTAAGTATATATTTAAAAAAATTTAAATTCTTATTAAAATATATTCCATAATTACTCTTACGATAAATAATGCATACATAATTGACAGTTTTTATATTTCTATTATATAAATATTAAAATGTGAGACTTTTAAAATTCCTTTTGATATTTGTGTATCATTTGAATTTTGAAATTTCATACACACACACACACACACACACACACACACACACACACACACACACACATATATATATATATATATATATATATATAATAACATCAAAGATTAAATTTTTAATTAAGTTTTTTATTGAGTATGTTACTATTTGATGTTAATATTTTTTTGTTGAACGTGTTACTGTTTAATATTATTATATATATACATGTGTGTGTGTGTGTGTGTATATATATTTGTAAATGTTATTGTTTGATGTTACTATTTTTTTGTTGAACGTGTTACTGTTTGATGTTATTATTTTTTTTGTTCAACATGTTATTGTTTAATGTTAATATTTTTTTGTTGAGCGTGTTATTATTTAATATTATATATATAATTTTAAAATTCAAATAATACACAAATATTAAAAGAAATTTTAAAAGTCTCACATTCTAATATTTAGATATTGAGAATATAAAAGTTGTCAATTAGGTATGCACTATTTATAGTAGAGGTAAAAAGCTTTTATAACTTTTTTTTTTTGCAGATGTACTTATAATTCAATTATTTTAAAAAATATACTTTTATTCTATTAAATTCTAAGGAGTTACTGGTCCCGCTAAGCCCCCTCTATTTATTTATTTGTGTTATGATATGACTCTTCCAGACACTGATTTCCATGATAAACAGAAAACTGGGTGTTACCCAAATTAACAATTAGCAAAAGGCCCGAGGCCTGATGCGCTGACAGCCCAGTAAGCCAAAGTCCACTAGAATAATGGGCATCCCAGCCCACCACATGACAGACCTCTCTGTGACCCATTGCCCGAATAATATGGCCCGATCTTGAAAGATTTAGGCCCGAATGTGGCCAGATGGGTTCGCCAGACAGCCCCCGACGGGCCTAGATTTTTTCCATCAGCAGAACTGATCCCGACTGACAAAGACTTGTTGGCTAGCACTGGATAGGCTTGGCCCCAAAAAATCTGGGCCGCACTGACCGGCCCAGCACAACTTGTTGAAGCTTAAACGCCTGCTATATAGTGTTGATTCCAAACTTCTAAATAAAAATATTTCTTCCTAATTTGAAAACTTAATGCAGGAATCTAACACATCTTGGTCATTAGATTGCTAATGAATTTCAAGTCTTGGAACTTGAGAAGGGAACATGTCGAGTTGGTGAACAAATGTTAATTGAATGATCATAATACATTATATTCTCAAGAGCAATGCTATTGAGATATAATTTGTTGACCTAATTCATTACGACATTTAGATTGACTATGGAACCCATCAAACATTGAAACTTGGTGTTGATCCAATAGTTCTATTTAAGTCACATCATTATGTCAGCAAATTAGATCAGATTTTTAGGTCTAAATAGTATTACCCTATTCTCAAATTAGATTCTTATACATTATATACACAAGACTACTTTCGTTCTAAAGTAATGAGAGAATTTAATACACATGATATTATTCTTATATGTGAAAAAATTATTTTCTTAGTGGTGTAGCTTTGGTGAATTATCGTTAGTAATGACATCCGTTGACCCAATAACATTTTTTTTCGAGGTTTGTCTTAATTCAGTCCCATCTAAACAATGCCCATTACCTATCATGATGTGATGCCCTATTAAATTACACCCATACACGGCAAATCTGTTAGTTAACACTATAATTTTGATCCATCTTCAACTTGCCTCCTTAAACAATGTAATCTTTGGCGTTCAAAATCCGTGTGTTTGATTCAGAACAAGGACTAAAATGGTTCAAACTTTAGACCATTTTGCCCAAGTCAAACTCCAATACACACATTTTGGCCAAGTCAAAAAAATCACCCATTACTTCCTGAACAAACAAGTACTAAAATGTCCGCGCCTTATTTGTTTTATTTTATTTTTGTTTAATAGTTAAGAATATACGAGTTAATTCAGGCATATTTCAATTAATTATTACTCTAATCCGATCAATGATAAGTCATCTACACCAACACTAATGTATTTATAAGAAACGAATTATTCATGACATAAATTTAAGGAATTATCATGATTTAAACTTAAAACCTCTACTTGTACAACTCTTCCTCACGACCAACTCCTATCCAAGTTGAATCACCATGTCGAATGGCTATATATATTCACATATTCTCTCTCCTTTATTCTCATTCCCACCAACAACTTTTCTCTTCCTCAAACTTTCCTCTTGATCTTCACACAGAAAGGTCCCAAAGTGATATACAAACATGGTTTCACTTAGTAGACTTTTCCCTTTGCTTTTGGTTTTGTGCATTGTGTGCTCTTCAACTACTTTACAAACTGCAAAAGCCACTAGGCTTCTTGACATGGAGCAATGGCTGAAGAAACAAGTTCCTCTATTGGAGTCCCACCCTCGGGGTCCGGTCCCACCGTCGGGCGGCTCACGTTGCACTTACATTCCCGGCCAGGGTAGTGGCACCTGCTCCTTGAACGGAATGAACTTTGCCGGCCACGTCGTCCGTGCACCACCGGCGTTTCCTGCTGGTGGTAGTGACTTTGCAGCAGCTACCATGACAAAAGAAGCTAAAGAGGAAAATCCAAGTTCTTGATTGGCTTTATAGAAAAGTCAGCTTGAAATGCGAAATGAGATACTGTTCTGTAACATTTGTTTTCTTTTTCTTTTCTTTTCTTTTTTTTTTTTTTCTGTTGAGGGATTTTTGGAATCTCTTTATTCTTTTTTTTTGTATATATATATATATATATTTTTGCTTGGAGCAACCAAATCAAATTTGGTTGTTAATTAATGTAACCAATAGAGAATAAATAAATAAAAAATCCTATTCTTATAATTATGAATTGCTACACAATAATTTTTTTTTGGTTTAACAACCTAATTTACGTGCACTTCAATTAATCCCTTCTGATCAAGTCGAACACATGTTATTTAAGTTGAACTTGAGATATTTATGAGTAACAAATTCTTTATGACCTGACTCTAATAAATTGTCAAAATTTAAATTTGTGATATTTAAATTTATAACTTATTTCTATTATACAATAAATTTCAGGCACGTAGAAAAGGAGGCTGTTCCAAATAATAGTGTCACTAATCATTCCATGCAGTGTACGGGAAGGTTTGGTTTTAATTGATATTTTGTTTAAAAATAATGCTGTATGCATCAATGTTTTGCTAATAATTTTTTTTTGGGTAAATGTATGTTTTGCTAATCATTGAGGTGGATTACTCATAACCATCGGATTGATTAGTGGGACCTCCTAAATTTCAATGTAAATCCATTAACTCCAAAAAGTTTATGCCCTAACACAATGGAGAAAACATATGTGAGTGAAAGTTAACCTTGAGACCATAAGAAATCATATTTCTGGTATCGGGGTGAAGCCAAAAAAATTATTTCTGGATGAACCCTACACAAATTTACAACCCCCCGGTCCACAATAGGTCTTGCAGGCACCATGATGCAAATAATCTTGGGTGGGCGTTTAGGATGAAATCAGAAAGTGCATTCACTATAAAAATAAAGTATGAATGTTAAAAAAAAAAAAGCACAATAAATAAAAATTATTTTATAGAAAAGTATGTTTGCGGTGGTGTGTGGTGGGTAATGGTGGTGACAACGGGTGAAAGGTGTGGTTTTATGGTGACGGTCGAGGGTGGGTGGTAGTCGTATGGTGGTGGTAATGAGCGGTGGGTGACAGGTGTGATTTTGGTGGCGATGGTTGGTGGGTGATGACAATGTGTGGTGAGTGGAGGGTGTGGTTGTGGGGACAGGTGGTGGTAGCAATAATAGGTGATGGGTGGCGGCTACGACAAGAAGTTAAGGTTGTAGGTGTGATTGTGATGACAGGTGATGGTGGTGGCTCCCAGTGGCACCAAGTGGCGGGTGTAGTTTTGGCAACAGGTGATGATGGTGATGGAAGGTTGGTGGCGGCAACGGGTGATTGGAAGCATATTGTCACAAATTAATTTTTGCAATAGTAAGAATAAAACTTTATATTTTATAACTCAAACTAATATTTATAATGGTATTGTATGAAATTTATTTTGATAGATTTTGTATAATTAATTATCTAGTGAATGACTATATTAGACATTGATCAATCTAATCTATACTCATATTTGTTTAATTGAGGTTTAAACGTAATTTGGTAGATAGAATATTTTATTAAAGATAGAAAGATCATTTGACATAGTTAATATAGACTAGAATATATGAAACCAACACCCTAGGTTTGCCTAACTCCACATATGTGGGTTGGGTTTAACGCGACGTATCGCATCGAAATATGAATTTTGAATTTAAAAATAAAAATTAAACATGATATTACGATGTCTATCTAAATATTTTTTTTTAAAACACCCTTTCAAACCCACCAAACCGGATAAATAAACAAGGCCCGAAAGGTTGAAGTCTAACATTAGTATATGCTTCAAAGCTGGCGGATGACCCAAGTCATTAATATGATGTTTATGCCGAGTAGCGTTGTGAACCATCTATCTGGCTAAAGGGATATTAAATTTCAACAGTTAATAAACATATTTTATTAATACCAAGTTATTTAACATGATTATTTAAAATAACTTGGAGTAAAAGATTGATTACTATTTAACACAAATCAGAATGATATTAAGAACGATACGCATCGGGTAATATTTTTAATTATACCACCCCTAAAATATAATCTTTGTTTTTTTTTTTTTGGTATTACAGTTATAGGTGTTTTAATTAATTTATATGTACTTCAACTAATTTTTCTTTTGATTCAACAGTCAAGAACTTCGCCGAAAAGAGGGGATGGTGTTCGAGTCAAGAAGATTTGAGATGACACAAAACATTAAAATAAGTTTTAAAACATTTGAAATTTGTAATTTTTTCAACATGAACTTGCAAGGAAAAACAACGACGGTGTCTAAGTTTATTAACTAATTAAGTCAATTTCTTGCGGGTCAAGGCTGACTTTGTGGGTATTCTAATTCTTGGGTTTTACCAGGAATTTAGCTTACTTGGCTTAGTCATTTATGACCATTTCCAAAGTCCATAAGAGTTGGTAAAATCATTAAATTGTACCAGGGATTCACGTACCACCAGGCTAGTTATCCAGTGGCATGCCCTACTTCGTTAGTCATATTTGGATAAATTTGACTGACGTCCCATAAATTTAAGTTATATTTCGCTAACATTCTCTAATTTCTGAAATGTCGTTGCATCCTTGTTAGTTTTTGTTTCTTAATAGAATATGTAACTTTACTAAATTATCCTTGTTAGAACTCTTATTTTACTTAATAACCCTTACTCAAATTAAACTTATTTTATATGGTCAATAATAAATTTGACAATTCATAAGAGAATAAACTATCACATTACACCAAGGCTAGTTTGTGAAACATGCATACATACTAAAAGGGTGTGCAATGATATTTCATAAATCAGAAAAAGATTCAGTAAAATATAACTTAAATCCAAGGGGCATCAATGAAATTTACCCTAAGTATTTTTATTGGACCAATCCTTATGGCCTTTAGCAGGCCTAAAGGACTTGTTCTCAAATGGAAAATTTGGAGGCCGGTCCCTTTATATGGATTTTTTGGACTTAAATTTTGTCAAAGAAACTTATTTGTTATGAAATCTATTTTTTTGTCAATTTTACCATACTATCTCTTCCCTTTAAGAGTTTGACTAATATTAAAATTTTTCCTCTTATATCTATATATAAATTAAATAATAACATTAAAAATAAAAAATAGTAACATTCAAATACAAAAAAAAGTTATTATTTGGACACAAAAAATAATACATTTAAACATAAAAAAAAATTGAAAAATTCAATATTAATATTTTTACAAAATAACAACATTAAAATGGTCAATAAATATATTAACATGTTCAAAAAAATAGTAACATACTTAACAAAAACTGTAACATTCTTAACAATAACTATTTCTCTCAAATTCAAACACAAAAAATAGTATCATTCAAATATAAAAAATAATAATATTCAAAAAAAAAATACAAACATTGAATATTAATATTTAGGAAAATAATAGTAATAACATGGTTAATAAAAACAATAACATGCTCAAAAATAATAATACATGAATAGTAACATATTTAAGAAAAACAGTAACATAATAAAAAAAAATAGTAACATAATTTGAATTTTACTATTAAAATTCATAGCAACTTTTTTTTTTTTGTATTTGAGTGTAACTATTTTTTTTAATGTTACTATCTATCTATATATATATAGATAGATAAGAGAGAGAAAAATTTATAATGTTAGTCAAACTCTTAACCTATATATAGATATAGATAGATATGAGAGAAAAAAAATTAACTTCTTTTCAATGAAGGGTATTTTTGAGATAAAAAAAAAAAAGTGGACTTAAGTTATTATATATAATTTTAAATATGAAATTAACCCGTTATAAATTTCCTTGCAGGACTTATTTCCAAACAAATACATCTAGGAAGACTCACTTTCAATTTTCACTTTTCAAATTTTCTCATTTTCGAAAGAGTTTGAAATATTTCTCATATTTTTTGAAATTTTATGGGGCAATGGGTTGGCCTATAGACCTAAATGAGTCAAATTTTTTGGCCTCTTAGGCCCAAAATCACAGCCCATGTCCCTACGGATTCGGCTACCAATATGTCCAGAATTGTTGTCTAGTCGAATAGTTGATTTTCTTGATCAAATTAAACGTTACCAAGCTCAAAAAAAATTGAGGCCTATCAAAAGTTAAATCAAAGAGGCAACTAACTTAAACTTATTCCCCTTCACTAATGCCTTTGAATTCATATAATTCCGTTGAAGCTCTAGCTCTTTTGATCAGAACACGTGCCTATTTGAATAGTGTAATTGTACTTCTTTGTCGATACATTGATTAGATCACAATATGTTACTGAGACGATTTATACTTTTGTCTGGTGGGTATGAATCTGCGTATATATTTGCATGATTGACTGCTTTAACCACTCGATCAATTGGCTCTGACATTCACTTAATTTCACCCAAATATACATTATTCATCGTCGAGTGAAATGGAATGATGGAATGAAAGTTAATAGAGAGAATGTTGATTTGATTTTAGCGGCTCTGGTAAAAAATTGTCCACAAAAAGTTGCATGGTCAATTAACAGACCAACAACCATGACCTTGACAATTTCAATTGACACTATAGTACTGGCCATCTATATGCTTTTGAGTCATTATCCACTAAGTTCCATGGACTCCAAGGTTCATGACATTTCAGTGGCCTAACTTCTCTCCTAAACATCCACTACAGAGGGCCCACAACACTGTTCAATCTTGGATTAAGCTGAAAGACAAAATCAAATTGATGAAGCTAATCCCTCTGAGGGAGGATTATCTGCTGTTGGAAAATCAACAAAGAGGTACTGTTAATTAAAACATAATTGTTTTTTTACCAAAACACCCCTATTTTAATCAACAGCAGATGAGCCTGATGCAACCCCTCTTTTGGTTTCCCTCCATTTTCCAGGCAATCAATCAGGATTGACAAAGAAAAGTGTTAACTATGCAATATCCTGAGATCAGTAAGAGGTAGAATTTTAAATGGTGAATTGAAATGGTAGAATTTGAATCTATAGTACTAGAAAAAGATGCAATATGTCAATCAATCAAGTAGGTATCAGAGGATATAAACTTAAAAGAAAAGAACTTACTGAAAAAAAGAAAAAAAAAACTTTAAGAAATGAATTTTCTCTCCTTAGATTACAAAAAAATACATGAATTTCTGTACAAAATACACATACAATTCAAAAAGTATATAAGAATCACTACATCATCTATATCTTTCATCTAACTATATATCAATGGAATGGAACTGATGTCTGGCAACGTTTTTCAAGCTTCTCTATTCGAAACTTAAGTATCTTCAAAGGTGAGCTTCACTTCTCATTAGTAGCCACACCAAATGGAGCCATGAGACGTGGGTAGGCGCCAGCACGAGGCAAGGCATCACCAGCAAAGTTCATTTCCTGTATTGGGCAGGCACTTCCGCTGCTTCCTGGGATGTTGGTGCAGCCAGAAGGTCCAGAAGGAGGGACAGGACCCCTCTGGAGAGACTGCAACACCACATCTCCGCTCTTCATCCACTCTTCTTGTTCTCTATGCAATATTCTGCTGGCTTTGCATTGTTGGACACACAGAAGAATAAGTATTGCCAACACAATGCTGAGAAGCCTCATGTTGGGTGTTGTAAGGAAGATGAAAACAATACCAATGGAGAATTTGATGGAGGAGAGAGAGAATTTATAGGAAGATCTTTGAAAGTTTTGCTGTTATTTTATTTATTGAAAGCTGGTTTTGCCTGTTGACTGTTTGGTTATTGAGTGGGTCATAAGAAAGAAGCTGGGTTTTGAACTTGATCAACATGGTTTCTCTCTCTCTCTCTCTCTCACACACACACACACACACACACATACATACACAAGCACATACGTATTTGGGTAGATAAATTATGTGATAAAGGGTTTGAATGGTTTGTCAAAGGACAAAGAGTTTGAATGCTTTTATTCTTCTTGGACCATTGGTTCATCCAAGGTGTGTCTCTGTGGTTGTGGAGTTGGGGGAATTCTCTGATAGGAAGTTTCTTGGCAGTGACAGTTGGTTGAGATTTGCTTGTTTATTTGATTGAAGGTGTTATGCAAGTTGTCCAGTTTTTAAGCAGGCATATAATATAAAAATATGAAACTAGATATAGATGACATCGCTACATGAGTCGTCCCATTAGTGATTGCATCAGCTAGTTCAATATGTGAGTCTCCCCCATCAATTTTTTTTTTTGGTCACTATTTGAAACTATTACCGGGGAGAGAATTGGTGAGGTTCGAACCCGCAACTTAACAGTCCAATTGTGGGCTGCGTGGCCATTAGGCCAACCGTTGATTCTCATTTTGAACATAGGCATAAGCCAATTATGAGAAATCAATTGTGGGGCAACAAGTTTTCCCTGAGAATAAGAGCTCCTTGCAAACAGTGAAAATCTCGAAATGTTGGAATTATCAGGACATTATGTTCGTTACTGAACTTGTGTGATGTAGGACATAGCATAAATGAAACCGCCGATCATATCATGACCTTTCTTGATGCTTTTTTTTTTTTAGGGTGACACACCGATCAACCCAAGCAGTGATAAGTTATCTAGTTTAAACTCATTACTATCAATATAGAAATGAATTTTCAAATTAAGCTTAAGCCACGATTCTCACCAACCAATCAATAGAATCTTGATTACAAAATCACAGGTTTTACTGTTGAACAGTACATACTACATTGCGAGTATCAAATTAAATCAGAAGAAAAAAAATTTACTACAACCATTAAGATAATTGATTAATTATATATTATACCACATAGAATTGAAGCAAACTGTGTCTGATCACTCCTTACAGAGTAGTATAAAGTACCATTTGTTTCAAATAGCCAACAAGCAATATAAAGAATCCAATATCAACCTCTCTTTTATTAACCAACTTACTGGTTTCATCTGTTTCTGTTTCCATGGCTTGGTCTTGTGATTGTAAGCTCAATCCAGGTGAAGACAAGAAGGTAAAACATAATCCTCAATCACCGCCCCTTCGGATTAACAATCTGGGAGAAGATATCGTTACCATTATCATCTGTTGATTGCTGCTCAGTCGTGTCTTGTTCACTTCCAAGGCTTAGGGTGCTCCTATGCATTGCCAAGAAACTGTTGTGGTCGATTTGTTCAAAGTTATCGTAGTCCATGCTTTCGCCTCCCCTTGAAACCGGTTTAGGTCCATCTGGGTTTTCTTGCAATTGCAGAGCAAATTCAAGGTTCCACAACACATCACCCATAGAGGGACGATCAGTTCCATGGTCAGCTAAACACTTCTCGGCTGTTTCTGCGAACTTCTTCAAACACTCGGGGTTTATCTTTCCTTTGAGGTGTGGATCAACAATGTCTCCAAGTACTCCTTTCCTCTGGCAAGTCAGTGCCCAATCTGCTAGACTGACTTGTTCCTTTGGAAGGCTTGGATTGAGAGCTGGCCTTGCACACAATGCCTCAAAAAGAACAACCCCAAATGAGTACACATCGGATTTCTCTGTCAATTGTTGCCTCCTGAAATATTCAGGATCTAAATAGCCAAAACTTCCCTTCACCACAGTACTAACATGGCCTTGATTCATGTTAGGACCTGTTTTCGAGAGCCCGAAATCCGAAACCTTGGCAACCCACTTCTCATCCAGGAGGATATTCGTGGTCTTCACGTCCCTGTGAATGATGGTGTACTTGGCACCAGTGTGAAGATAATGGAGTCCACGAGCCGCCCCAATACATATCTCCAACCTTTGCTTCCAGGAAAGAGTGATCTTGTTTCCTTTATAGAGATGTTCTCTCATTGTTCCATGTCCCATGTAATCATAAACCAAAGCCATCTCATTACCCTCCTCACAGAACCCAATTAGAGAAACTAAATGTCTATGCCTTAACTTTCCAAGCATCTCTATTTCAGTCTGGAACTCATTAACACCTTGTTCTGAAGAAGGGTTTGATCTTTTGACTGCAACTTTTGTATCTCCATCAATGACACCTCTATACACCTTCCCAAAGCCACCAACACCAATAACATGAGACTCGTCGAAGTTCTTGGTGGCATGTTTGATCTCTGCCAAGGAGAAGTATCGGCAATTACACGCAGCATCAGATGAAATATTTGTGGTGCTACCATGGCTCTTCCCAGATATGGTTGATTTGCTAGCTGTTGTGTGTGAATTCCCATAGATTGGTAACCAACTAGACGTTCGTGAGTCCGATCCACCAACTCTCTTCTTAGCATTGTAGGCCACGAAGAATATAGCAGCAGCTAAAGTAAAAGCAGCAGCTCCTCCTGCAGCTCCACCTATAAGTTCCTTGGTGTATGATTTTTTCGGGGCGAACGCCTTTGCTTCCTGATTAGCTAGCTCTTGCTTCTTCATCATATCTGATACCACAGGATTAGGACCAGCCAGGTTTGATTTCGAGTCACCAATCTTAAACACTTCCAAACCATTGAGAATGACATCGTAAAATTCGGGCAACAAATCGGGTGAGGGATGAAGTGCCACCCAGAGTTCTTCATCTCCTGGTTGTTCATTGACATAAATGGCATAGTCTTTCTTCATAGGAGCAGCTTTCTCACCAACCCATCCATAAACGTCTGCGGTTTCTATGGCTGTTTGGTTGTTAATGAATATCTGGAAAACTCTCTGGTTTGCCTTGTCAATCTGATAGTCACAGAAATGAAATCTCACAAGATAGGTGAAATTGGCATCAACCTGGAAAACCCATGTAAGGTTAAAGTTCTTGTTGACATTCGGATCAGGACCCTGTGATCTCATAGTTTTGTACACATCAAGTGGAGCTATAGAAGGTGATAAACCTTTGTACCCGACTGTCATATTCGCCTCAGAGGTGACACCAGTGGCAGCACCATAGACATAGGGCGAATCGTCGTACCAGCTTCGCATAAGACCGGCTGAGTCGTTTGTCGCAGGAATATATTGTCCACCAACGTTCAATCTGTACATTGTTTGCATATTGGCAATGCTGGCCTGGATGGTGCTGGCATCCCCCGAACTCGATGCGTCAAGACCAAAACCCACTAATTCAGTATCGTCATCAAATAATTCTGGCGTTGGAATGACCTCAATACCATTAACAAATGCAAACGAACCCGGATATTTATCAGAAGGCTTGAATGTGACATTCAAAACATCAGAATTTAGACTCGCAAGAGAATATTCTTTGATAACGTAAGCTTGTGATAGAGCTTCACATGTTGTTGAAGCACTGAAATTATTCAAGAGGGTGACACCACCAGCCATAACAGAGAAATAGGAATTGGAGATGTTGAAATTGGGGTAAGAAGATGGATAGAAATGGAGTCTAAGAAAATACCGACTAGTCGAATTAACGTCGAATTTGTACGTCGTTTCCGCCGAAAAAATTCTAGCATTCATGTAGGGTATTTCAGATGAGAGTGAAGGGTCTTGGAAATCAGCCTTGGCCATGACGGATTTATCTGAAGACACGAGGTATTTCGAATCGGATTCCCATTTCCGGCCATCGGTGTCGGTTCCACCATTTGAAGAGCCACAGTTAAGGATCAATGGGTTCGGTTTTGGGCTAGAGCTTGCTGCATGGAGAGAAATGAACAAAACAAATAGACATGTGAGAGAAAACAAAATGTCGGTATTGGTGTGCATGGTTACAAAAAGGAACATTCGAGAGTAAAAGTTATAGATGGTTAAATGGCGTACAGGAAAACAAAGGGAAAAAGCTCGAAACACGAGAAAGTTTTCCTGTACGCCCGAAGAATTCAAAAAGATTTTCTTTTGTAGAGTTTTCTATATGCGGGGGGTTATGGGCTTAAACTAAACCATCTCTTGTGGTCCATGGAGGACTCAAATGTGTAAGCAGGGGGCAATGAACTGGGCAATGAGAGATGGTGTGTATTGATATGTATTCTTTGGGTTTTTTTTTTTTTTTTTCCGAATCTCTATTTTCTCTCTCTCCTCTCCTGGCTGTCCGTACGTCAATTGCAAGAAGGGAGGTAGCTGGATATGAATGAATGAGAGTGAAAATTGTAATATGGGAGGTTGTTAAACGTTTGAAAGTCCCATAAAGGTGGAGTGGTAGACCACCCTTCATTCTCATTACTGTTCGTCTTAATGTTTAATTCATTCTCATATTCTCTCTCTCTATATATATATGTGTGTGTGCGTATATATATATATATATAATATATAATATAAAATATGATAAGTTTCAATAAACTCATTTGATGGTCTCAAATAGATTCATCTAATGACCATTAACATCTCTCTTAAAATGATTCATATTATCCCGCGTCTTCAGACACGAGTTACTTCTGATATATATACACACACCCACATACGGGTCTGGTCATGGCTTTTCGATAGTGAACCTTCACTTTTTGAATATGAATTGTTGAAATTGTGGAGTTCACTAATCTTATTTGTTGTTTTATAATTAATTAGTGGCACTACGTAACATTGATGACGTATTGTCACCATTAAACCCAATGATTAAATGACGTAGGTCAAATTCATTATGTTTCTGCCTAATTAGACTCGCCAGAGTTACATGCCTATATATAGATAATTTGAATTGGATAACACTTTAATCAGGTATTAATGTATTTAAATTTGAATCTGTAGAATAAGATATAACAAATTTAAATGCAAAATCAAACTTAGATTATGGATAAAAAATATGAATTCATACCGAATTGAAATTAAGAAGAAAAGAGATTAATTGGAAAATTTAATGCAGATAATTAGAATTTTAACTATATGAAGGTACATACAATATAATTTTTAAATACATTAAAATTGGCTATCTAAGTACAATTTATATACTCATGAGAAAGATAAAATCAAAACAAAATATATTATTTATGAGTTTAGGAATTCATGGGAATACATTATAAAAAATAGAATTTGATGGTCCTGATATAAATATAATAGCACTTAATTTTTTTTTTATTTCTTTTGTGTGTGTTTGGGAAAATAGGACCTATTAGAAATTTTTTCAATTATTAATTCTGTTAATTGTTGAACATCAGTCAAAACCACAGGGGTTATACATAGATTTTTAAGATAAAGGGAGATCAAGTATCATTTGCCCAAGCTACCTAATGATTAAACATAATTTACCTTATTATAAATGACGATAACAAGAAAACTTGCAATTGAAGACTACTGTTGGATCTGATTAAAAGTTTTTTTTTTTTAAAAAAAAGAATGGTGCTGAGGACCACTCAAGTATTTTACCCTTCTTGTTTTTAAGTGGAGCAATAAGAAATAATGAATTCAGATTTAGATCAGCCAAGTCGTCATAGCCTTACAAGTAGTGAGCATTTTTGCACTTATTGCATGTTATTGAATTTTAATGTATTTTATATAGTTTAAATTTAAAATAATTATTATTGTATTTGTGTAACAATTATGATAGATTGAAGTTCATGTTTTTTTGTGTTTTATTATAATTATTGTTATAGTTATTTTAGATTTTAATGTTTTTGATTTATTGTGTTGTTAAATTGGTGCATGTTATTTAATTAAATTGTTAAAATGATCCAAAAATTAATAGTTATAAAAATATTTACCTGATTTTCTATCCGATTAATCAGGTAGAAAGTCGGGTAGGAATACCACACCTGATTTGGTAAGGTAAGATAGCGTAGGGTAAGAAAAAATTCTTCCGCAAAGTATCGATTAGGAAGACGGAAGACTATATTTCCTACCCGTAGGGCTCGTTTGGTTACCGTATTAAAAATGGATGAATTAGATAAAGTAATACAATCTATTACAATACAGATGGATTAAATACAAGATTAAATATGATATCAGTATAATACGTAATTTTTTCTAGTGTTTGGCAATACACAATATAAGCGTTGAATATTAGTTTTTTAATTCAATCGGTTATTTGGTTATATAATTATTTCAATGTATTAATGTTGAATTAACAAAAATATCCTAAATCAGTATTTGTTACATTGATGACAACTTGAATTTATCACTTAGGGGGTTATAATAGTAAATGTGTAGAATAATACGTTTGAGTTAAATTATAATACCATCTCTTTTGGTGATATTAAAAAACTTTCATAATATAGGTCTATCGTATAAAAAATATATAATAAATATACGTTTTTAAAATTAATACGATATCAAATTTATTTATCAAATAAAATATTAAAAATAATTAAATAAAAAATAATACTATCTAACGTTTAATCTTGTCGTAATATATCTACCAAACGAGTTCGGCAAGGTGAACACCCCAGCAAATAAAAATGGGTCTTGGTAGGGGCGTGTGATTAAGCTGTTGATTTTGTCGCATATGATTGGGAATGGTATTTTGACTGTTGCTTTGGAAGTGTTATCGGCGTATTTGGCTGCTCCTAAGGAACAAAAGCACCATGCCGCACGCACTCATTGCGCTCTCAAAGAGTATAATTACATGGAATTGTCGGGAGGTGTCAGAGCTTTGCTTTTCATATTTGGTTTTGTTTTTTGTTTTTACATTTATTTTGCTAGCATGGAGATTTTGGTTAAAAAAAAATCACTTATTTTTTTCTTTTTATATAGATCATCAAAATAAGTCAACAAGTGTTTTCGTTAGTACAAACGACACTGATCATTTGATTATATCTTAAATGATTACTAAGTTCATTAATCTTTTTGAATACATTAAGTGACATACTTAAATATTGGGTGTTTTGAAAAATTAAGAGTTACCAATAATTTTTTTTGAAAATGTAGGCGGAAGGATGGCTCTCTTTGGTCTACTTACACTTCCCTCTGTGATTAGAGTTGGGGAGGATTTGTTAGTAAGACGATGGAAAGAAGAAATAAAAAATTTGTGCATCACAAGGGCTGCTCACTAGTTTTAGTCTAATGCTGAGAATTGAATATGATCGATTGATTGTCGATCATCATTATGGTTTGAAGATTTTTTGGATACATTTTTTTATTTTTCATTTTGTGGACACAGGTGATGAGAACAAATTTCAAACAAGTAATGTCAATACTTTTGAGCTTATTTCAAGATGACGATCCTGTCGCGTAGAATGCATCTATTCGTGCAATTGGGGAGTTGGCTTCGACTTTGGGCGAACACTTACAAGTCAGATGTGACCTCATGCTACCTGCATTAGCTGAAGTGATGAATGACTGCCCAAATCAAGACATGCGGGTTAGTGGGCTTATTTATGTATTTTTACTCTGCTCTACATTTGAACTTGTTTGGGACGTGACACTCAATCTTGCTAACCTTTTCAATGAATTAATGGACTCCAAATGAGGGCATCCACATTTTAGTTGTTTTCTTTTAACATAAATGAGAAGCATTTTCCTTCTTTTTGTTGGGAGGATGTGTCATGTACGCAAAATACTTATTGATATTTTTGATTTAAATCATACAATTAAGAGTAAAACATAAAACTGATCCAATTGCATAATGGAACGGTTTAAAAATTTGATCAACACTAGTGTTTGATATTATATCTTTAAGACATATTTCACTTCCATTGTGGTGATTTATGGGTTCTTTAGCATCTCTCTCTCAAGAAACAATGATCACACACACAGAAACATTGCAATCTGGATATACAGCAAACCAAAAATTGTATTTCGCACTCTTAGAAATGGACAGTACATTCTAATGACAAAAATAATGTATGTAATGACCGGTAATCACAAATTTTGTAAGTGTTTTGTAAGTCCAGAATGCTAATTAATCTGGGTTCACTATAAGAATTAGGGTCTTTTAAAACAAGTTTTTGTTACATCAGTGTTCGTCGTTACAAAAAAAAAAGTGTGTTTTGTAGGGCAAAAAGTTTTTTTGTGACGCTAGTGTTGTTATAAAAAATTTATTTGCTACTATAAATATTATTTGAAACGTAATATTACCGCCACAAAGATTTTTTGAGGCTGTACTTATTACGACAAGATATTTGTGATGGCATGCCTCAGAATAATATGTGTGGCCTCAAAAAATCTTTGTGGTGGTAACAGCTGTCTCAAATAGTATTTGCGACAGCAAATAAACCTTTTATAATAATATCGCAAAAAAAAAAAAAAAATTCTCCAAAACACGTTTTTTGTGACAGTAAACATTATCACCTCAAAAAACCCTAATTGTTGTTGTGATTATTTATAGATGTAAAGGTGATTGATTGGAATAGCCCCCACACTAATCAAAAAAATTCAAACTCAAACTAGTTAGAATTTGAATTCCAATGAGCGACAATTAAAACTCGGGTTAAGAAATTAAGGACATTATCAAAAGAATTTTATCCAAAAATATAAGATTGGACCCACCCACACACAGAGTTTAGCCCAACCCAGCCGAGCAGCAGTGTGTGCGCACGTGTGTGGGAATTTGAATTCTCACCCAACTAGTGAGAATTTGAATTCCAATGAGAAACAATTAAAACTTGGGTTAAGAAATTAAGAACATTATCCAAAGAATTTAATCCAAAAATATAAGATTAGATCCACCCAAACACACAGCTGAGCCCAAGCCCAGTCGAGCAGCAGTGCGTGCACATGTGTGTGGTCGAATCCAAATCCATTTAGGTCCTCTGTCGTCCACAAAAGTGGGGTGCCCTTTTGGACCTAACCCAAAGTGCAAACTTGAGGTATATATACTCGTCAAATTATTTTTGCTCAAC